AAGTTGAATTCATTAAGCAGATCTTATACAAAAAAAAAAAAGGAAAAAGCAAACTGGTCACAAAGCCATGTTTCAAGCATGGATGCATTCTTGTACGATTTTCACACTTGGGCATGCGGGTTCACTATAACCATATCTCCAATCTCCAGAACTATGGTCTCAAATCCACAAATACGCCTCTTCATGTCACAGTATAATGCTTCGCATGTGCCAGACCACATGTCAGGAGTGAGACATTCGGAATCCATAAAGATGCATTTCGAAGACGATAGAAAGTTTTAGTACAAAACTAGTCAAATATCATACATTTCAATTACAGATGCATTCTAAATTGCTTTCATAGAGTACCATGTGTATTTACAATAGATGTAATTCCAATGTGTAGAATTGTAGTCATAAAACCTCATTCCTACCAGTTCTATGACAACAGAATTATATCTGGTCACAAACCCATACTTCGCGTGTTAGTCACAATATTTCATGATTGACTGGTTCGGCATTCATAAACACCACGAATACCAAACGTTCATGAGTAGAAAATGCACACATATGTTGTCTGCGGTGAAACCTTGTTTAGATGGAAACATAAAATGCATATTTTAGGGACGCGTATAGGTACTTATCGATTGTTTTTGTGACCCGAATCGAACCAGTGTTTATCAAATACAGGTTCCGTCGGTAGCTATGGAGAAAATTTTTACAGTTGTGATATTATGTTTGTAGCTTTTTCCCCCAAACGAGGAGACCATTTTCGTGAAGATTGAGGTTTAAATTGGTAACTGCTTCCGTGATTGTAGCATCCATATCCATTCATTCCATTTGTTTATATATTCCATATATAATATATAGAATATATTATATATAATATATAACCATTTATGACCCGAAATTTGAAATATAATGACATGTTTCTTAAATTTGAAATGCCACATACTATATACCTGTCCTGTGTATTGTTTCCTTAAAATATTTGAAACATTGTTTTGGGCCTTTTATTGGACATGGGTTTGGGCAACACTAGACTACAGCCCAATCTGCCCTTCCCTCAATCCGTCCTCACTTCTACGCGAATACTTATTGGCCGTCTTTTGTATAAATTAAAAGAATTATGCTTGGCGTTCACTCATCAAGTTTGACAGCCCCTTCACATGCAAGGGGGCACACACTAAATATTTTATTCGTGGGCTCCCTCATGTGAGGGGTCTGTTCACTTTTTGTTATAAATTGTAGGTTTTTAAATTGCCAGTTTCTGAAATTGTTTCTACCGATCGAAGTATTTATTGAACACATAATAAAATATTTCACTTGCATCCAAATGTTCAATTGAGCTCTAAAATATGAATCATAATGTCTTCCTTGGCTACTAAATACCTTTGATCACAGGTAATATGTCGTGTCAGCCCAATTTTCAGCGAAGAATTTTATCAGTTAATGACTTGAGTCTGTAATTGTAAAATGATATATTTGTAGTATCAATAATTGCTTTTTAGGAACTTCTAATTATAAATAATATTCAAATTGCCTGAATGTCAATTTGAACGTTCACTTCTGTGGAGAATTGTCTCTTAGTCATTTTTAATGGTGTTAGGCAAAAGGTTAATTTTTTTTATCAATTTTTCCCCTTGTTAATAGAATAAATGTTATTATGAGTCCTTTTAAATTATTATGTTCAATTTTAATAAAATAATAGAGTCTATGTCACATTGAGAGTGGCAATAATTTTAAGGGTTAATGGTTCATGGAATCCCATATTATAATTTCAGGTCTATATAATTAATGATTGAATCGTGAGATTGTTGATGTTATATGTAATGGGATCAGTATAATGCTTTTTCCCCCTTTTTTTTATAATTTTGAAATTGTATTAGGGATTGATTTAGAGTGGAAGAATATATAAAATTTGTGTGGATTTATATTGTTTAAATGAATTAATTTAATAAAGACAATACTGGAATGTAATGTAATAAAAATAGTAATTTTTTAAAAATTTAATATTTTAGTAGGGATAGATATATAACAATCATAGAAGTAGATAGCCACACCCTATAAAAATGGTGTGGATAAATATAGGAAAGGATTGAAAATTTTATAATGAAATAGATAAGTAAAAAATGTGGAGATATATGGAGTTTAAATGAATGAATTTAATCAGGATAATATTGAAATGTGATGTAGATGAAAATAGTTTTTTTGTTTTTAATTTAAAATTTTAATGGAGACAATTTAGAGTGGTATAAATATATAATAATGGTGGATGTAAATAGCGGATCCCAAAGAAGCCAATGGAGCAGATACTTGAGCTCAATATTATTTAGATAAAAATCCTTTTTTTTTTTTTAGGAAAAAGAATATGAGATTAAAAAATGTAAAAAATAAAAACAAAAATATACGTTTCATGCAATATGTTGTTGAAAATGAATTAAAAAATAATAATTTTCAAAAAATCTCTCCCAGCATTGTGTATACTTGGATACCTCTTCCCTATAGTGAATCCAATCATCTGGTCTAATTTCAAATTCAAAGGTATTAATGAAAAAATGCAATTGTAATATCATAATTACGTTAAAAAATAAAATGAAACCAAGATTCTAATGGTGATGAATAACGTTGCTCATTTCACAATATGTCAATTCGCAAATTTTTGTTCTAATGTCTTTAATTGAAGTTGATGTACAACTATTTTCTTCTATTTCATAAAAATTATGGTAATGAGACATGTATGAATATGGACTATTGTGCAATATGTAGAAAAATCATTATCTTCCTTGATTATTCATCGCGCTAAATAATTAATTGCATAGTTGTCACTTCACTAACTCTTACACACTTACAATCCAACAAATTAATTGAGTTCAAAGCTACAAAGGTTAAACTCTAATATTGATGATAGGGATGTAAAATAAGTTAAATCATCTAGGGAGAACAGACATTTTCCATCCATACGAATATGAGCTCGATTTTTTTGTATTACAATCGAGTCCCATCTATCATCTTGTGAACCCTACTCCAACACTTGAAAATAGTTCACCATACCAAAACCCAACCGCAGAAGAAAATAGGAATTTGAAAATAATTTTTTATCACATAACCGTAGGCTGAGCTGAGCGTAAGATTTGGACATGAGGCGGCTCGGCTTGATCATTATCACCCATAGGTCTAATAATTTAGGCGAAGTGTTAAGGATAATATAAAAGAGCTTGAATTATTTTTCTTATCAAAATTGACCTCGTACGGATGGAAAGTTCATAATCTTGTGAGAATAGAATTGAGAATTTAAAAGTCTTGCGCATGTGTTTTGCTGGTTATTTCAAAAGTTGTTAAGATTAAAGAAAACTATCAAACTTTATAACTCGAATCAATTAATATGGCACTTGCCTCACGCTAGCTAGTAATGTTCTTTCCATTTTCTTGTTTTCTACCCTCTACATTATTTCGATTCCAATTTAACACTAGAGTGTTTTCATTGACTTTATTTTTGTGAAAAATGTCATTTTTACTTTTGGTGTGTGTGATTAACAAATTTTCCATTAAAAATATTTTCCAACATTTGGTCATAGAAAATATCGTCATCATATTTTCTTCAAAAATAAATAAAACATTTTCTTTAGGGAGGGGTGATTCTTATTTTTCATGTAATTCACTCCCTCTTTCTTTCTCTATTTCATCTATCCATGCAAATTAATATGTTTAATTAATAATTTCCATGCAAATTTCACGATCGTTCAAATGCACCCTTACTTCATTGTGTTAACTAGAAAATATTATTAATATAAAAACACTAACAAATATGTTAACATTTGAGATTCTATTCTAAAGTTTATATTTTAGTTAATAGTTTTATACTTTAACCAATATAAAAAGGAAGACCATGGAACCATTTATAAGTCGTGCTACTAGTGTGTGTTTTAGTCACGTTATTTTTAAAAAATGTATTTTGAAATAGTAAATCGATGGAGAATGAGTGGTTAAAAAATAAAGAAAATTTTTGAATTTACGTGTAATATTATTTTATTGAAAAATATGTTTTTGAAATATTGTCAAATCACTATTTAAAAATGTATTTTTTCTAAATAATACGGCTCAAACAGGCCTAAATATCGAACTGGATTTGATAAATTAGTATCAGCCTAAAAAATTGCAATGCAAAAATTGATTTAAATGTTTTAACATAAAAATAAATATATATCTTCTTTTAGCAACGCTTACAACCAAACGGTCCCATGGTCTAGTGGTTAGGACATTGGACTCTGAATCCAGTAACCCGAGTTCAAATCTCGGTGGGACCTTTTTTTATTTCATTTTTCATTCCTGTTTCTGTCAGCGCCGCATATAATCCTTCCTCAATTTTTACTAAATTAATTTTGCGGCAACTTTGTTCACGATCCTCTGCTAGTAATAATAGTTTGCGTCTGGGGTGATTGGGCTCATATTGAATTGCAGATCAAAGAAAATCTTCCAAAAACCAAACAACTTCTAGGTAAAAACACAATCTTTACTTTCCTGTATGCCCATTGAATTTTTTTCTGATCAACCCTGTTATGTGATTTTATTTCGTTAATAAACTATTTTTTAAGAGATACAATGTTTCTTGGTACATTACTCTCGGTTGACTTAGGAAAATGGGTTTAGTGCAAACGTTGCATATTTATTGTTTGATAAAATGCCTGTATGGTCTGATATGCTGTATAAGAAGAGATGAGAATCACAGATATGGACTTTGTTTGAAATCATTGCTTGCAATTTTACACTTGGCTTTGAAAATGGATGCTAAGCAACAAGCAATGTTTGATAAAATGCCTGTAAAAGCTGTTCCCCTTTATAAGAAGATGGGATTCATTGAGATGGGTTTTGTATGAAATCCTTGTTTGCAATTTTACAGTGGAGTTTGAGAATGGATGCTAAGCAGTAAGCAATGATTAGGTACTGTTTTATTCTTTCCACTAGCAAGTGGACTGGACAAATGGTTGGATAAGAATTAGTAATTTAAGCCTTCAATTTTCACTTTGTATGTTCCTTTTTCCAAGTAGATACTTATCTCTAAGTTTTTTCACAGGAAAATAAATCAATATTAACCGGTCACTTTGGTATATTATTTTCGCCTTTGCCCTGCTGGCCATCTTAGAGGTGAATATATTTCTTAATGAGCCTGGGCATGCAATCTACTTGTGTAGATAAATATGGTTTTCCATTGTTGCATTTACCTTAATTTGTTGATCCTAGTTGATGAAGAGAAGATTGTAATAGGATTCTCAGTGTTACTAACCGGTGTGATTATTATTTTATCTAAGATCTTTTTTCTTTTCTGTGTCTTAGAGCTCGAGGCAAAGATTCTTTATTTTGTTTTATTTCATTTTTATTCTTAGGGTGCGGTGGCCTTTGATGCTCGGACTCTTCGAAATGGTTGGAGTACCCATGTTGGACACGACACGACATGGATATGGGTATGAGATATGTGTCGGATCCTCCAAATTTTAACTGGACACTTCGCCATTTTTTACTTCTTTTTTCTTTTCCTTTTCTTTCTCGTTCCCTATAATTGAAAACTAAACTTCAAAATTATATTTTATTAGTCTTAACATCTTATTTAATATTCATTTTCTTTTTTGTGAACTATTGATTTTAGTCTATTCAAAATGATATCTTGGGTTAATAAAAAAAATTGAAGCTTGAAAGACGTACCCACGTACCCGTGTCCGAAATTTAGATTTTTTTTAGCTATGTCCTCGTATCCTAAATTTTAAAAAATAAAAGATCCGACACTTAAATACGTTCCCGATACCCGTACCCGAGTCCGAGCATCATAGGTAGTGGGGTTTTGGTTGTGAGGACTTATCAGAAATAGAGAAGCTCGTCTTCATTTGCTTTTTATAGATGCAATTTGAGGAATTCCGTTGTTTAGGCACCTCATGGTGTGTCTTATCCATGTTTGCTTCATCTTGCACATCGTTGTTTGGTTAGCGGACATATGCGGTTAGATATAGGTTTATAAGAATCCTATTAGGTACAATTTTTTAACACTGTTTAGGCTTAAGACCCAAAAAGATATTTAATAGGCACTTGAATTTCTCTGTTTAAATCTATGTGATGATAATCTAATCCTCTATCTTGTTTTTCACTTTTCCCTTGGTGCGTGTATGCCTGTGCATTGAATTTATCACAGGTGTCATTTTATCATATAGGGTGCTGCACTTAAATCAAATATTTATTTTTTATCTCCCCAAGATCATTTTCTGATTGAGAACTTACAATATTATGGACTTGTATTTCGTTTCTTATTTCCTTTTATTATTTGTTTATGCACGTTGTCGACTTAATGTCGTTGTTGCTTGATTCAGGTGATTGGTTTTTTGTCCTATAATGGAAGCTAAATTCTTTCGCTTTCTTAAGATTGTTGGAGTTGGTTTCAAAGCCAGAGCAGAAGCGGAAGGTCGTCTCTTGTACCTTAAACTTGGTTACAGCCATGAGGTCGAACTTACTGTACCTCCAGCAGTTCGCGTGTTCTGCTTCAAAAACAACGTAGTCTGCTGCACTGGGATTGACAAGGAAAGGGTGCATCAATTTGCTGCTGCTGTCCGTAATTGCAAGCCTCCTGAAGTTTACAAAGGAAAAGGTATAATGTACATTGATGAAGTGATAAAGAAAAAGGAGGGGAAGAGGTCAAAATAACTTGGGAGATGCTTGGCTTTCTTTGGATGATGTTTGACCTTAATTGTTACTAATAACATGTCTCCAGCCCTTTTTTCTCTCTTCTTTTTTTGCCAGATTAATATGCTTTAGTAATGTCACTGATATTTGTGTTTCATTTAGAATTTTTTTTTTTTTTGCACTGTGAAGAATGGATCGTGTTGTAGTTATGATTGTTATCGACATTTTTTATTAGAACTCTTAAACTGTTAACTAATTCTGAATGGGAAAGAATAATCATACATCTAATTGTGTTAACTTTTTAATATAACTACTTTGTTGACCTGGAGTCTGACTGATCTGCTGTTAACAAGCCCATGCCACCTTTCTTTGTCAACCTATAACTACCTGCACACTAGGACAACTTGTTAGAATGCAAGATTTTGATAAACCTCCCTTACGGGTTCACGTATAGGAGGTGTCACAAAAAGGGAATGTAATGGGAGTTGGAGGGAATGTTAGTTGTTGGATTTGATGAGCAAAGAAGTTGTTAGGATGATGTCATGGTTGTTAGAATGGAGCCAATAAATAGCGGGTAGGAGGATCTAGAATGCATTCAGAAAAGAGGTAACAAATCTGAATCTGAATCTGTAGGAGAGGGGAGATCTCCAAACCTGCCTTACGTGTTCTTCAATTTGCTTTGTAACAGTTTGTCGTTTAATACAAATACTAATTTTTCTATCTTCCAATTCTCTATGCGGGAGCCTACCAGATTTCTGCTCGGAGAGGTGGTGTAACAATTATTTTCACTCCGAATCAAGTTAAAATATGGAAGTTGGTGGGAAGACAATTTGATAGAGTTTTGGTTGGATTTCACATACCCGACATTGATATTCCAAAGTGTGTTTAGGGGGAAGGAAAGGGTCCTCAACTCCTTGGGTGGGTCTTTTCCCACCAATCTTCAGCCAGCGGATAGGTAGCAGACCCATCACTATTGCTTCCTCAAATTGAGAGTCTATGCTGGAAGCCACATCCATATGTTCCTCCTGCATGCTTGCTCAAAATGACAACTGAAAGGAAGCGCTAGTTGCCTTTTCTTTACTTTTATGTAATCTAGTCAGTCGTCTTTCCTTTTTTATGTGACTTGACAAGTGACTGCGTGATGGGATGGACTGACACATATGAGGGTGCAATCTTGATGCGTGGTAACAGTCATCTGACAATGTGGCCGTATATCTTTGGCTCTCTGCCCTATGTCAAAAACGTACTCTTTTCCGTCTCTAGACTTTGACAGGATTTCCTATGCTTTGGATAGCAACCCTCATATCTCTCACGATGGTGGCGATGAGGTGGTTTATGGATGTGCCTCGCACTGGATGGGGCATTGGAAGGGTCAAGGCACTTGCCTGTGATATTACTTCTATTTGCAGGTCGTGCGCTAGGGGCAAAGTATATGCTTCGGCTTGAACTGGGTCAGCATGTTTGCTTCCACATGGGTGGGTGGTAAGGCTCCACATGTCGTGGAGGTGTAACAATAGTCCCCCAAGTCCGAGACTAACATTTAGGTGCTTGACTGATGCCAACTTGCTCCCCTTTCTGATCATAAGCCAGTGTGGTATTCAACCTTGGCCTTTTCTTGGTTTCCTTAGGGCCAATGTGATTTCCACGTGGATGGTAAAGGCTCCACACTAGGTGGAGGCACCTTATAAGGAGGACGAGACAACCTTATTAGGAGGACGAGACAGCTTGAGTATGCATATAAGTGTAATATGATTTTCCTTGATCACTTTTCCATCATCAAGAAAAAATATGGATTCTTTTCTGCTAGTCTAATTTTTAGAACAAGTCCCATGAGAACAGCCTTCAATCATTAGACATTTATGGATTGTTGGACTAAGACAGTATTGACCGATTAAGGAAGAGAGTGAGAACGAGCTATCTGTCAAAGTGTTATTACCGGCAATTCTGAAAGAGCAGTTCAGAAGTATCGCTCACACTTGAATCAGTCATTTATTGTCCTTGCTTACGAAGCAACAGGAAGAGCCCCAGGCCCCCCTTGGAGGGCACATGTGAGAGCTCATTACTTTGTTCAAAAGAGATAGATCCCAAAAAGAAGTTCTCCTGAAATAGAAGCTTTCATATCCTGATCTTTTTAGTACCTGTGCAATAAGGTTAGCATAGATTATCAATTATAATCAAACAATCACTTGCAGCCGATACTCCTACTTTACATGCCCGAGTCAAGTGATGTAATAATTTTAAGCTGTAAAAACTTTGAGCTCAAAGTCTAGACTTTCATTCATGCCTGCTATTGAGCCAGAGAACTTAGAACCATCTGTTTCTCTAACAACAGCACAAGTGGCTCTGTAGACGCAGAAGGGAAAGCAGTATTCATGTAGAAAAGAAGCCTTTCATGAAGCCACACCTATTTCGAGGCCTAGTCTTAACCTTCCTTCCCAATTCTTGATCTTATTAAGAAGACAACCAATGCAAAACCTCACTTTTTTGGGTGTCAGCGAGTCATCAGGCTTATAACTTGTCTTGTTATGTTCATTGTACACGACTGGACAATAAGACCGAAAAAAGTTAAGAACTCATGTCTATTATGCTGTTCACGTAAACATGCCAAGCGTACCAAAAACGCTGGTTATAACTGGCCACAATCAGTTGAATTCAAATATTCAATGGTTCCAATTGGGAATTTTACTTTTGTTCTTAATCTCTAGAAAATTAATTGATGTTGTGGATTATGTTGAAGTTTTTTGTCTGCATTTTCGTGAAGGGGTCGGAAGTATAAAATTTTGGCATGTTTGTTATGCTCGAGTGTCGACAAGACACTTCTGGATGATATTAAGGTATAACAATGTGTGAAAATCTCGTTTGTTATCTTGCTCTATATTAAGTCGCAACATGCAATGTGGGATGCAGGAGAAATTGCATTTACTTCATTCATCGTGTGAATAATTGGTGGATTTTTTTACCTGGTTGCATTTCAGCAGCTTCTGGAATTGAAACCCTTGTTTCATTTGAGTTCCATTTTT